TCATGCCTATAACCCAGGAGTCCAAGACCAGCCTGGGCAATGTAGGGAGACCCCTATCTCTAATAAACAATTAAAAATCTAATCCTGGGCAGTCGGGCACCGTGGCTCATGCATGTAATTCCAGCACTTTGGGAGGCCAAGGCGGGCAGATTGCCTGAGGTCGGGAGTTCGAGACCAACCTGGCCAGCATAGTGAAACCCCGTCTCTACTAAAAATACAAAAATTAGCCAGGTGTCTTGGCAGGCACCTGTAAGCCCAGCTACTCAGGAAGCTGAGGCAGGAGAATCACTTGAACCCGGGAGGTGGAGGTTGTAGTGAAATGAGATCACACCATTGGACTCCAGCCCAAGAAACAGGGCAAGACTCCATCTCAAAAAAAAAAAAAAAAAAAAAAAAAAAGTAAGCCTGGGCTGGACAACACAACAAAACCCCATCTCCACCAAAAAAATTTAAAAAAAAAATTAGCCGCGTGAGGAGGCACGTGCCTGTGGTCCTAACTACTCAGGAGGCTGAGGTGGGAGGCTTGCCTGAGCCCAGGAGATGGAGGCTGCCATGAGCTGTGACTACACCACAGCACTCCAGCCTGGGCAACAGAGCAAGACTCTATCTGGAAAAAAAAAAAAAAGTTCGGACAGGAAAAAAGAGTGGTACTTCAACTAGACTAGATAAAGGGAAACTTTTCCAAGTAAGGATCTGACCAATGTTTTCATTCTTTCGCTTTTTATATCCCTGCCTTCCATCTGCTGAAATAGCAAATAATAATTACCTCACAATTTATCATGTACCAGACACTGTGCTATGACCTTTACATAGATGATTTCACTTAATCTTTGAAACAATGCTATGTGAGGGTATTATCATCCCTGTTTAAAGATAAATGTGGCTGGGCGCACTGGCTCACGCCTGTAATCTCAGCACTTTGGGAGGCCGAGGCAGGTGGATCACCTGAGGTCAGGCGTTCTTGACCAGCCTGACCAACATGGTGAATCCCTGTCTCTACTCAAAATACAAAAAGTAGCCAGGTGTGGTGGTGCACCTAAAATCCCAGCTACTCAGGAGGCTGAGACAGGAGAATCGCTTGAACCCAGGAGGCAGAGGTTGCAGTGAGCCAAGATTGTGCCACCGTACTCATTCCAGCCTGGCCAACAGAGCGAGCTCCATCTCCAAATAAAAAGGAAACTTTTAAGATGACTTCAGCTCCAGCCACCATCTGACTGCATGAGAGACTTCCAGTAAGACCTGCCTAGTTGAATCCAGGCAACCTGAAGGACCACAAGAAAGACTGTGTTTCTTTAAGCCACAAAATTGAAGAGATCTGTTACGCAGCAATAGATTACCTGAACAACGAAGAAAAGCAGCATAAGAAAAAAAAAGTAACATGCCTGAAGCTACCACGCCTACTGGCTCCAAAGCCCACACTGTTATCAACTGCACTGTCACTCTTTGCTCTCTACTGTTGCAAATGATGCCAAATAAAAAGAAAGACAGGAATACTCCACAGAATAACACACCTCTAAACACATGGGCATCACCTAGAAAACAAGTACAAAAACACACCTAGAAAATCCTGAAAGACCCCTGTAATAATCTAGCATTCCCAGCCCCACTCTGACCCCAAGCTATGGATCCAGTTTCACCATTACTCACTTTTCCTGATCATTGTTCTTTAACTCTGTCTCTATGATTTCCAGTTCTGGAATATACTCTCCACTCTTAACTATTTTTAAATCATTTATCTAATGATCAGATGTAAACCACGGGGATAAAAGGTTACAATAATTCTTAGAGTAGATTTTAAGGTAGAAGGAAGAAAGGGAGAATAAAGATGTCACCACTAAACCAAGTAACCAAAAACTACCAAAATGACCATCTAAAAGAACATACCAAACAATACTAAATATACTTTAAAAACAAAAGTTTACAAGAAGTAAATCATAAATGTAAGTTTTTTGTGTATTTTTTTGTTTTGTTTTTATTTTTATTTTTTTGCATTTTATGGTTGAGACGGGGTTTCACCACATTGGCCAGGCTGGTCTCGAACTCCTCACTTCAAGTGATCAGCCAACCTCAGCCTCCCGAAGTGCTGGGATTACAGGCGTGAGCCACCGTGCCCGCCCCATAAATGTAAATTTTATATGTATACACACACATACTTTTTTTTTTTCTTTGCTCTGTTGCCCAGGCTGGAGTGCAGTGGCACCATCTCGGCTCACTGCAACCTCTGCCTCCCAGGTTCAAGCGATTCTCCTGCCTCAGCCTCCCTAGTAGCTGGGATTACAGGCGCCTGCCACCACGCCCGACTAATTTTTATATTTTTAGTAGAGATGCGGTTTCACCATGTTGGCCAGGCTGGTCTCGAACTCCTGGCCTCAAGTGATCCACCCACCTCAGCCTTCCAAAGTGCTGGAATTACAGACGTGAGCCACTGTGCCCGGCCCACAAATGTAAATGTAAATTTTATATATATACAAACACATACTTTTTTTTTTTTTTTCATACGGAGTCTCTTGCTCTGTTGTCCACGCTGAAGTGCAGTGGCGCAATCTTGGCTCACTGCAAGCCCCGCCTTAAGGGTTCACGCCATTCTCCTGGCTCAACCTTCCAAGTAGCTGGGACTACAGGCACCAGCCACTATGCCTAATTTTTTGTATTTTTAGTAGAGACAGGGTTTCACCATGTTAGCCAGGATGGTCTTGATATCCTGACCTTGTGATCTGCCCGCCTTGGCCTCCCAAAGCGCTGGGATTACAGGCGTGAGCCACCGCGTCCGGCCGGCACATACACACATTTCTATATAGGTGTACACACACAGTGCTAACATTACTCTTTTAAAAAGGGAGAAATACACATTTACATATTTATATATAATATATATATAGAGAGAGAGTAAATTACTGAGAGTGATGCTTCTAGGTAGTGGGGGATGAAGCGTCTAAGAGAAAGGCCAGGCACGGTGGCTCACGTCTGTAATTCCAACACTTCGGGAGGCCGAAGTGGGCAGATCGCTTGACGTCAGGAGTTCGAAACCAGCCTGACCAACATGTTGAGACCCCGTCTTTACCAAAAAAATACAAGTTAGCTGGGCATGGTGGTGCACACCTGTAATCTCAGCTACTTGGGAGGCTGAGGTGGGAGAATCATTTGATCCCGGGAGGCAGAGGTTGCAGTGAGCCAAGATTGCACCACTACACCCCAGCCTGGGTGACACAGCAAGACCCTGTCAAAAAAAGAAGAGTCTAAGAGAAAAAGAAGGTAGAGAAATAAACCAAATGATCAAATCTAACTTCAGCAAAACTGTGACGAGCTGACATCACACACTCTGGAAGGGCCACACTGACAGAGACACAATGTCACCTCTCTCATATTCCTGGTAAAAACATTTAAGCTGAAGCTAATCGTGAGGCAACAATCAGATAAATTCAAATTGAGAGATATTCTGCAAAACACCTGGGCTGGATTCTTTAAAAACGTCATTTGGCCTACAGAGGAGAGTCAAAAATAAAAATGAAATTATCATTGTCATGAAAGACACAAAAGGCAGGGACACTATATTAAAAGAGACCAAAGAGATGTGACAACAGAATGCAATTTGTGATTCTTGATTGGACTGTAGAACAAATATAAACAACTATAACAGATGTTATTGGGATAAATGGAAAGACTGAAATACGGACTGTATATTAGAGTATTGTATCATCGTTAAATGTTCTAAATGTGGTATTTGTAATGTGATGACGTAGGAGAATGTCCTTGTTCTTGGCAGATAACTGCTGAAAGAAGTGGTGAATTATCAGTAGTCTACAACTAACTCTTGAAAGGTCCAGTGAAAATAAATACACAAATGGGAGAGAGAAAACACCAGAGCGAAAGTGAGCACACAAAAATAAGGCAAAATGGTGCGTCTAAGTGAAGGACGGGTTTATAAATATTCAGTGTACCGCTCTTGCAACTTTCCTGTACATCTGGAAATTTTCAAAACAAACAGATGGGAAGAAAAAAGGAATACAGTACAAAATATGTGCAGTATACATAGTCTGCACTGTAAGTAAAAGTGTAAAGTCTTTTGTAGACTTTTGATTCTAACTACAGTTTTGTAGTGCGTTAATGAAAAAGGTAAACATTAAACAATATCCAACAAAAGAAAATAAAAATAAAAATGCCTTGTAAAGGGTGAATGAATTATTTTAAATATTATGCAACGTACACTATTGACAATTAGAACACAATGCAAATTTAACATTATAACTACTCCTAACATAATCTTTTCACAGCAAAGGTCTGAATTTTTACTGCACCTCTGGTTCACAGCCATAAACAATTATATATGTACAGTAATAATAAAAAATCATTCTAGCTGGTTGCACTCGGATTGTCAATAATCCACAAATCCTACCAGAGGTAAATTTTTTTACCCGTTACATTTTCTAGAATGACTACCTCATTTTCCAACTCTGAAGTAACAGCTTTTAACTAAAAGGTTGCTTCAAAATGACTATTAAAAAATGGTTCCTATAAAACACTACTGCTTGACCCAAAAAATAAAATAAAGCACACAGCCCAGCTTTCCTCTCAATTGGACACTAAACCAGTACCATGAAAAGGCAGGGAGCCACACTATAAGCGCTCCCTGCGTTTCTGCCGAATGTTCAAGAAAAGAATGTCAGGTTCGAGCCAGCATTTAAAAAAATAAAATGAATCACACTCAACTCCCTAAACTTCGATGTAAGAACTACGCACCGGCACCAAATATGCCTGAACGGGACTTGGGTCGGCTCTCCGAGACCTCAAAGTTCCCAACCTAGCCCCAACCCCTCGAGCTTCCCCCAGGGGCACCGGCTTCTTCCAGCCAAGGGGGATTCGGGGTCCACATGCAGAGCCGCCACGGCAGAAGGCGACGACGCCCGGCCCCGCCGGCCCCACAGGCCCCTCAAGCTCCCCCAGTCCCTCCCGCCCCCGCCACTCGCTCTTCAGTCCCTGCCCCCATCCCTGGTCCCACTCACTCTTCATCTTGGATGCGGAAGCTGGCGACAACCCCTTGCCGACACTGGACGGAAAAGAAAAACGCAGGAAGGGTGTCCCCCTGCTTTCCACTTCCCTGAGGCGGGGTCCCGCACTAGGATCTCCGTGGTGGTCCCTCGAAGGAGAGCGTTAGCATCCGGCCGCCATGTTGTGTCCCTGTCACCCTAGCAACCGTCAGGCCCTGAACGCCACGACCTGTCGCTCGCGCGTGCGCAAGATGCTCCGCCCGTATACGCGTGCGCAGTGAAGCCCGTCCGCTCAGCAGGGTTGCTAAGCAACCTCTCCGCCGCTTCCGTGTAAATACTGTGCAATTCCCCGCCTTCGCACAGAGGCGACTTTCACCCGGCTCGCTTTCTTTGCTGGCCTGGGAACTGAGCGATTTGGAACCCACTACGTGGACGATAGCCTTGAGCTTTAATTGGGCTTGGGAGCTTCTACGCGAAATTTTTTTTTTTTTTTGAGACGGAGTCTCGCTTTGTAGCCCGGGCTGGAGTGCAGTGGCACGATCTTGACTGACTGCAACCTCCCACTCCCGGGTTCAAGCGATTCTCATGCCTCAGCCTCCTGAGTAGCTGGAATTACAGGTGCCCGCCAACAAACCCGGCTAATTTTTATATTTTTAGTAGAGATGGGGTTTCACCACGTTGGCCAGGCTGGTCTTGAACTCCTGACCTCAAGTAGTACGCCTGCCTTGGCCTCCCAGAGTGTTGGGATTACAGGCATATCCCACAATGCCCGGCTAATTTTTTTTTTTTTTTTTTTTTAGTAGAGATGGGGTTTCACCACGTTGGCCAGGCTGGTCTTGAACTCCTGACCTCAAGTAGTACGCCTGCCTTGGCCTCCCAGAGTGTTGGGATTACAGGCGTGAGCCACCACTCCCAGCTCATTCAACAAATATTATTAAACACCTATTTGCCAGGTATTGCTCTAGGCATGTGGGATACATGAATAAAAAAGACTGGCACCAAAGCATCTCATGATATTTCAGAGCAATAGGGAGAGTGGGAAGTTCCAAAAGTATCAAAAGAGAAAAACTGATCATATCCAAAAGATTGGGTTCCAGCATGATGTTGGACTTCTCAGCAGCAAAACTAGACATAGTAGACAGAGAAGTGCAGCTTTCCAAGTACCAAGGGATAGTAACCTCTATCCTAAAATTTTCTAATTATTAGCCTAGTGTGAGGGTAAGAAGAAAGATGTGGGCCAGGCAAAGTTGCTCATGCCTGTAATCCAGGCACTTTGGGAGGCCAAGGCAGGAGGATCACTAGAGCTCTGAAGTTCAACACCAACCTGAGCAAGATAGTGAAACCCCATCTCTACCAAAAATACAAAAATGAGTCAGACGTGTTGGCACATGCCTGTGGTCCCAGCTACTTGAAAGGCTGAGGAGGGAGGATCCTTGGAGCCCAGAAAGTTGACGCTACAGTGAGCCATGATCATGCCACTGCACTCCAGCCTGGGTGACAGAGTGAGATTCCATCTCAAAAAAAAAAAAAAAAAAAGGAAGGAAGGAGGGAGGAAGGGGGAGAGGAAGAGAGAGAGAGAAACCAAGCAAGAAAGATGTATTCAGATATGCAAGATCTCATTTACTTTCCATGAGCCATTTCTTGGGAAACCAATGAAGAACGTTCAGAACCCAAATGAAAGGTAAGTAAAAGAGGCAGCAACCTGGAATCAGGAAGCAGAGGACCTGACAAAGAAAAAGGGGAAAGGGATTCCCAGGATGGTGGTGAAGACCCGCCCAGGATTAAACTGCGGCAGGCCTGGAGAACCACCAATCCAGGTTAGACCAGGAGGATGGGAAGCTCTGAAAGGATATCTCCCAACTTAAACACAGAAAACAATTGCTACATTATCTCACGTATTTGATTACATTAAGAGCAGTTTCATAATTCTGGCAGAAAGTCAGTGACTGTTACATAGAAAAGTAAGCAAACCAAATACAAAGGAAAACAAGAAGTTCCATTAGAAAGGAATGTAATTATAGTACACTATGTGGCTCAGTTGAGAACAGTGTTGACATAGGCATAGCAATATAAACACTGACTATTGATTTCAGTAAAACTTGGTAGTATTAGTATTTGGGGATGATGAGAGAGGTTTCGAAAGTGTACATGCATTGGGGGAATGTTGGCAAAAGAACCTCATTTAGCATAGAATGAAGTCAATAGATAAAGTATAAAATTGAAAAAAAAAAAGAATTAGAAGTAAAATGATATATTTTAGATTTATTGGAGTAAAAAAAGAAACTGCTTGAAAAGCTCATAGTGGGCAGGACATGGTGGCTCACACCTATAATCTTAGCACTTTGGGAGGCCAAGGTGGGAGGATCACTGGAGCCCAGGAGTTCAAAACCAGCCTGGGCAACATAGTGAGACCTCATTTCTGTAGAAAAATATATATATAAATAAATTTAAAAGTTCACAGTGATTGCCTCTGGGGAGTTGGATTGGGCTGCAAGGAAGGGGTGGAGTAGGAGAATACTATCTTTTATAATAAGGCTTTTAGTATTATGACTTTTAAAACTGCAATTGTTTTACTTTCATAAATATAAAATGTTAATTTCAAAAGCTTCATTGTCTGTTTATTAAGAAAAATCAGAAAATCAGAATATTAAATGTATAAACACTTAATAGGAGGAAGGCCAAAGATGGCCCGAAATCCACCAGAAGCCAGTAGACAGCCTGGGACGGTCTCCCTGGGAGCCTCCAAAGGAAGCGACCTTCCCGACACCCTGACCTTGGATGTCTGCCCGCCAGAACTGTGAGGCCATATATTCTGTTGTGTGGCCACTTACCTTTGTAAACATTTAATAGGGTTTCTTTTAATTTTATTTCTAAATAAGTTCGTTTAGAAGAATTCAATCTGTTTTATAAATTAAAGCTTTACTCAGGAATGCATGAAACTGTACATGTTATGAGTTATGCATTGAATCGTGTCCCCCCGAAAAGATGTTAAAGTCCTAACCTGCAGTACCTCAGATTGTGACCTTTCTTGGAGATAGGGTCTTTACAGAGGCAATCAAGTTAAAATGAGGTCTTCGGCCCGGCACAGTGGCTCATGCCTGTAATCCCAACACTTTGGGAGGTCAAGGCGGGCATATCACTTGAGGTCAGGACTTCAAGACCAGACTGGCCAACATGGTGAAACCACGTCTCTACTAAAAAGACAAAATTAACTGGGCGTGGTGGCTCACGCCTGTAATCCCAGCTACTCAGAAGGCTGAGGCAGGAGAATCGCTTGAACCTGGGAGGCGGAGGTTGCAATGAGCCGAGCCAAGATCGCACCACTGCCCTCCAGCCTGGGCAACAAGAGGGAAACTCCGTCAAAAAAAAAAAAAAAAAAAGGTCTTCAGGGTGGCTTTAGTCCATTATGACTGGCATCTGCACAAAAGGGGCTAGTTAGACACAGGGACACACAGGGAGAAGAGCATATGAACATGCAGGCAGAGATCAGGGTGAAGCTTCTACAAGCGAAGGAAGGCCAAAGTTGGCCCGAAATCCACCAGAAGCCAGGAGACAGCCTGGGGCGGTCTCCCTGGGAGCCTCCGAAGGAAGCGACCTTCCCGACACCCTAACCTTGGACATCCGCCTGCTAGAACTGTGAGGCCATATATTCTGTTGTGTGGCCAACACAGCGGGTCGTTACTGTCAGACCAAAGGTTCCAGCTTATAAACAGAATGAAACATTTCATAAGCTGAGTTTAAAGAAAATGGATTATTTAAAATGCACGTGGGCTCCCCGCCCCACATTAAAAACAAAACACAAAACAAACAAACAAAAAAACAAATACAAGGCGGAGGTTGCAGTGAGCCGAAATCGCGCCACTGCACTCCAGTCTGGGCACAAGAGCGAGACTCCGTCTCAAAAGCAAAAAGCAAAAACAAGCAAGCAAGCCCGAATGGTATTCTGTACCACTTAATTCTGGAAGTATGTAGATTTGTGTTTTCGTCACTCAAAGAATGAGAATTAGGGTTTGTCTAAGAAGAGCTTTAAGAAGGGGTGAGAAGGGGAGGGAAAGGTCCCGGGGACAGAAAACTGCTCACCCGCGCTCGCCCTACGACTGCACGTGGTCGCCCGAAGCCTGGGTTCGTGACTGACGGCGCAGGTCTCGGGTGCCCTCTAGCGGCCGACATCAGTCACTGCGCCCCCGCCCCGGCGTGCCCAGTCCACTCCGCCCACCTGGGACGCGTGGCTTGAAGTCCCGGGAATGCCACGGCTGCACCCACAAGGGTCGGTCAACTCGGCTTCCTTCACGAGACCTTGACTGACCACTCGCTGTGTGCCAAGCACTGTTTAGGTGCTGGTGAAATAGAGCCCACTGCCCCTGGAGTTCGCTCTAGCGGTGGGAGGCGGACGGTTAGCAGCGGGAATAAGCGATGGAGAGGGGTCGGGCCGGGAACCGCAGGGGTCCTGGGTGCGGGTTGCGATTGCAAATGGGGGCATCGGGGAAACCTCGCTGAGTAAATGACATTTAAGCAGCGACCACGACGAGGAGGAGTTGTTTTGACATTGTCTGCAGGAAGAGTGGTCCAGGAAGAGGAAAGGAAGCGCAAAAGCCCCAGCATAGGAGCAAGGGCCAGGGAGGAGGCGAGGGGGCTGCCGCGGAGGGAGCCGGGCAGGGGTGGAGGAGGGCAGAGGAGAAAGGCGCAGGTCTGGTGGTGTCTTTTTTTTTTTTTTTTTTTTGAGATGGAGTCTCGCTCTGATGCCCAGGCTGGAGTGCAGTGGCGCGATCTCGGCTCGCTGCAAGCTCCGCCTCCCGGGTTCACGCAGTTTTCCTGCCTCAGCCTCCCGTGTAGCTGAGACTACAGGCGTCCGCCACCGCGCCCGGCTAATTGTTGTATTTTTAGTAGAGACGGGGTTTCGCCGTGTTAGCCAGGATGGTCTCGATCTCCTGATCTCGTGATCCGCCCGTCTCGGCCTCCCAAAGTGCTGGGATTATAGGCGTGAGCCACTGCGCCAGGTCTTTTTTTAAAAATTTTTTATTTATTTTTATTTTTATTTTTATTGAGACGGAGTCTCGCTCTGTCGCCCAGGCTGGAGTGAGTGGCGTGATCTCGGCTCACTACAAGCTCCGCCTCCCGGGTTCACGCCGTTCTCCTGCCTCAGCCCTCCGAGTAGCTGGGACTACAGGCGCCCGCCATCACGCCCGGCTAATTTTTTGTATTTTTAGTGGAGACGCTATTTCACCGTGTTAGCCAGGGAGGTCTCAAACTCCT